AAATATTTATGTGATTATTGATTAACACAGAAAATAAAATTATATTAAAGAAAAATATTTGAATTTACTATAAGTTTCTCAAAGATATCTACTTGCACAAATTTTTAAACTACGGAATTTTTCTGATAAATATTTTAATAAAATATATTTTTTTTAGTAATTTATATAAAATATTTTCCAGAATCATTCATAAAAACATCCCTTTGAACACTTGGCTACAGCTCCAAAAAATTGAAAGATTTCTCACAAAAAAAGATCGAGAAGTTGTAAAATTTCTAGCTCAGAGGCATTTTCACGAAACTCGGTTCTCTGTTTCTCTGGCTAATGGTTTTTCAATCGTCAAAGAACAACAACCCAAAGATGAAAATAGCTGGCACTTGAAAAATGAATCACCATCGCTCGAGTAAAAACAAACACTTTTTCTCTTTGTTCCTTCTCGGTACTTTTTTTTGCTTTCTTTCTTTTTTTGAGCTCCGAGATATATTTCCCATAAGCACTATTCAATTATAAACGACATGTGCCTCAGCGTTCAAATCTTCGTACACGCACTGGGGGAACAAAAATCTCCACCGCCATGTTGTCAGCCATCTTGTTTTGTTTTATCTGTGTTTTCAAGGAACTCATTATTTTTCCATTAAGTTCTTCTCCTTGGAACAACTTCTTACAAATTAATAAGTATCATAGTACCAGAAGGGAAAAGTTAAAGGGAAAAACAAAGTACAGAAGACTCAGTAACTTAATTATGTCCCAATTGATGTGGAGATGCCAGATCTTGTTTGTTATATTGCATTCGTATATTTTTAAATTTATATCGAAGAAAATACTTAGTGAAAGAAATGGAATTTCGGAGTTTTGAAAATACTTTCAATCAATTCGTTTCTAGATAAATTGATTGTGAATTGATTCTTTCTTTTGTCTTCTAGAAACAAAGAATTGTAATTAGGAACTGATGGATATTTCTTTTAATACAAACAAATTTCTAAGAAAATCTTTATCAAAGGTTGCATGCAATGTAGGTAGAAATGTAAAGAAATTTTTTTTCATAGGAAAGCTGTGCATTCTAATTTTAAGGTTTACTTATGTTACATTCATTTTGATGGGTTATTATATCTAATTTATATTAAGATCTATATTTTAAAATAAATTCATAAATGCAAAAACAATTCATAGAAAAGCTATGCATTTTTATTTTTATTTTTAATGTACTACATTGTATACATTTTGAGGGGTTTTTATACCTATTCTATGTTAAGATCCATATTTAAATTACTGTATTCAATTAAACTAATAATAGTTGCTAAATGAATACAAATTAAAAATATTATGAAAGCATAATATATTTAATTGTATAATTTATTAGTTTCTTAGCATTTATTATTTATTACTTATTTAGTTTATGTATCAAATAACCAATTTTATTTGATAAGATGGGCAACATAAAATAAAGTTCCATTATGATTTCCTAAATTTTATTATTATAAGATTTTAAAACTGTATCAATAAAAAGTACAATTTTTCTTAAATTTGAATATTTATGTAATTATTGATTAGTCAAGAGATAAAATTGTATTGAAAAGAAAAAAAAATTATCTTATTATTGTAATTTTATCAAAGATAATAATCTACAATTAATCTCTAGTAGATAATAATCTACAATTAATGGCCAATAATTGTATTTAAGTGAATACAAATTAAAAAATATTATAAGACATAACATATTTAGCTTATTATATATTTTATTAGTTTCTCAGCATTCATTATTTATTACTTATTTAATTTATTTAGCAGATGACGAATTTCATTTGTGAAGATGGGCAATGTTAAGTAAAGATGCATGGTGACTTCAATAACTTTTATTCCTTTATCAATGAAAATTACAATTTTTCATTAATTTGAATATTTATGTGATTATCGATTACACAGATAAATTTGTATTAAAAAAAAACATTTCAACTTATTATAAGTTTCTCAGAGAAATCTATTTCCACACATTTTTAAACTATGGAGTTTTTCTGATAAATATTTTAATAAAATATAGTTTTCTCTGGTAATTTATATAAACTATTTTCTTGAATCATTTATAAAAAGATCTCTTTGAATACATGGCTTCAGCTCCAAAAATGAAAAATTTTTCTCACAAAAAACGATCGAGAAGTTGTAAAAATTTCTAGCTCAGAGGAATTTTCTGGAAACCCAGTTCTCCGTTTCTTTGGCTAATGGTTTTTCAATCGTCAAACAACAACAACCCAAAGATGAAAGTAGCTGGCACTTGAAAAATGAATCAACATCGCTCGAGTAAAAACAAACACTTTTTATCTTTGTTCCTTCTCGGTACTTTTTTTTTCTTTCTTTCTTTTTTGGAAGCTCTGAGATATATTTCCCATAAGCACTATTCAATTATAAACGACATGTGCCTCAGTGTTCAAATCTTCGTACACGCACTCGGGGAAGAAAAATCCCCACCGCCATGTTGTCAGCCATCTTTGTTTTGTTTTATCTGTGTTTTCAAGGAACTCATTATTTTTCCATTACGTTCTTCTCCTTGGAACAACTTCTTACAACTTAATAAGTATCATAGGACCAGAAAGGAAAAGTTGAAGAACAAAAAAAGTACAGAAAACTCTGTAACTTAATTATGTCCCAATTGATGTGGAGACGGCAGATCTTGTTTGCTATATTGTATTCTTATATTTTTAAATTTGTATCGAAGAAAATACTTAGTTCAGAAATGGAATTGCTGAGTTTTGAAAATACTTTTAATCAATACATTTCCAGTTAAATTGATACAGAATTGATTCTTTCTTTTTTCTTAGAGAAATAAAAAATTCTAATTAAGGACAGATGGATATTTCTTTTTAAAAAGAACAAATTTATAAGGTTACATGTAATGTGGACATAAATGCAATTTATTTTCATAGGAAAGATGTGCATTCTAATTTTAAGGTTTAATGTAAAATAATAGTATGTCCAAAAAGTAAGACCAATTTTCAATTTAACTTTCCGGGGCTTATGGTATTTCATTTTTTTTTTTCTTTTTAGGTTGTTGGCACTGTTCTTGACATCTATGTGAAATTTGACGTCAAAATATGCATTGGTGTGTCAATTACGCTTGGCTTTGTGAGAGGTTAAAACTGATTCCGGCGATTTTTGAAATGTTTGAATTATGTTTGCGGATACATATAGAATGTTGCAGAAGGCATTTGGTGAACATTCCTATATCGGAAAGAAATGCTTAGAAGTGGTATAAACAGTTCAAATAAGGCAGAGAACGCGTTGAAGACAAAGAGCCCTCTGATCGACGTCAACCGACGAAGGTCACGTCCAAAAAATTAACGATTTGGTGCTTGCAAACCGTCGAGAGACCTTAGAGACCTTGTTGATGATGTTAGAATTTCAACAGGATTCGTCAATTCCATTTTGGGCCTCTAACGCATGAAATCTCGATTGGTACCGAAAACACTGAATGCGCAGCTCACATTGCATTAATTCTTCGTGACTTGTTCAACAAAAATGAAACCCATATTGCTCCACAACCACCGTATTCACACCGTGCGACATTTGGATATTTACTAAACTCAAAAGACCACTCCGGGGACAACGTTTTGAGTCGATTGAAGAGATTAAACGTGAATCGCCGTGAGTTTGAAGTCCATTACTGCCGATGACTTTTTAGCCTGCATTGAAAATAGGAAAAAAAGGTGGCATAAGTGAATTGTGTCCGGAGGAGATTACTTTGAAGCCGGTGAAATAAATTTGGAAGAATAAATAAAGACATTGAAAAAATGTCTTACTTTTTGGGAACAGTAGTATCATATACATTTTGAGAGTTCTTATGTTCATTTTATATTAAGATCTATATTTTAAAATAAACACATACATTCAAAGAAATTTCAGAGGAAAGCTATGCATTTTGATTTTAAGGTTTATTGTTATGCATTATAAACAGGATGATTATAATTAAAGTCCCACTTTCAAAATGCTGTAAAATAAGAACCACTGCTCAAATTGATTTCAAATTTGAACTGACGATACTTGATAAATGGAGAAACTGTATGACAACAAAAAAAGTTCCACCGATTTTTCCCATTCAATTGGGTATGACCTTGCCGTGAAAGATGGGTTTTCCACTAACAGTGTGACAACTGTTGAATGACTTGGAAGTCATATTTATCGGTCAAAAAACCGATGCAATCAAACACATTGAACATTACAATTGGTTTAATGTAAAACTCATGCCAAATACGTCGTAATTTCGATTCAAAATATCACAGGTAGCTGAATTCACTTTATGTATGCAGCTTGCAGCGCCATCTATTAATACACTTTGGAACCGGTTTTTGATCCCGTACCGTTTCACCCTTCTTCAAGTATCTTTTGTTCAAATTTGAACTTATTGTGACAAGTGGTTCTTTTTTTTTTACAGCATTTTGAAAATGGGTCTTTAATTATAATCACCCTGTACATTTTGATGAGTTCATAATTATATCCTTTTTATATTATTTTAAAATAATCTGAAAAATCTGAATAGATAATTTTTCAGTTAATTTTAACTCTCTGCATTAAATACAGAAATATGAATTTTGAGAATGCAGAAATTTTAAATTTATATATAAATTGCAAAACTTATTATTATTAAATATCATTTTACAGTGGGTTACCAAGTGAATTATACTCCATAAAAATGTTTCTTATTACAAATAAGTAATAGTGTTTTGTTGTTTCTTATCCCACTTGGCTGGCCAAGCCCACGATCCCATACGTGCTCATGATTGAAGGGGAAGGAAGCAGCTTCTGTTGTGATGGAGCACCCGTTGGTAGAAGCCTGACTTTTGCTCCGTGACGCTCTTACAGTCATGGGAGACCGGGATTTACGGCTTAAAGTGGATTCCGAACCACGTTTTGTTACAAACATCCATGGCACCGCCGGGATTCGAACCCGAAACCTGTGGCACCGAGCGCCAGAGCGCTAGACACTCGGCCATTCAGGTCCCAAATTTGCCAACGGCACGCAGTGTTCCCAGGTGGTCACCCACCCAAGTACTGACCGCGCCCAATGATGCTTCACTTCGGTGCCCCCCCTCCACTGTGCTCTATTTACTACTTTATTCTATTATTGTTATACCATATTTTATTATTTTGCATCCCCGCTAATTCTCTTCATATACTAGTAATTGGGGCTAAATCCTACTTGGAAACGGAACCCCTTTCCCACCCCCCCCCTCGAATGACTTCACTTCGGTGATCTAACGAGAACCGGTATATTCAGCATGGTACGGCCGTTGGCTTATAAGTAATAGTTAAAATAATAATAATAACAATAACAATACCTTCCTCTAATTTATTACTGATATTCAGAAGCCATTAAGTAAAGCCCTCTTTTATTTCTTTTTTAAGTGGTTTGTGGAATATTCTGATTTTGCAATAACTTTTAGAATGAAAGTTTTTGTTATTAACATTAAATACTTTCCTTTACCTTTGAAGATCAAATCGCGCTTATAAAAGTACTTGAGACCAAAATTTTAATGAGTTTTCTCTTTTCATTAAAATGTATTGTTTAGAATGTTGTTACAAGGCACCATAGTTCAGTTCTATTAAGCAAGCAAGACCTCTAAGAGCTTTTGAATCTTTGAAGCATTTTTATTTCAAGTATGGTATCATTTTCATTTTGTTAAAAGAGTATGATTAAGATACAAAAGGATTTTTCAATTTGAAATAGGTATTGGATAAAATTACTGAACTTGCAGATTTTAGTAATATTGTATAAATAAAAAATAAAATATAATATTACAATATATATTTATAAATATTCATCGACCTCGCTTTATACACTCTGATGTAAAAACTCTTGTCAAACTCATGTCTGGAATATGGTCGATTTTCTGGATATTTCTATACGAACAATCACTGAGCCACAAGCGTGGTAATATAATTAATTGAAATTATTCAAAGGATTATATACATTTAATCTTCCATTCTGCCTCAAATTAGTCCTATTGCATTTGGTAGGCTTATTGTAAAATCTTGTATTCCAAGTGTAAATTGTCTCATAAATGCTCGTTTAAAATACGGCGATACATAAGTATTTTTATTTCTAATTTTAAAAAAAAATCACTTTAATTTTTCCCTGAAAATTCCTTTAATTTTTTTGAAAGTCAGTCTTCTTAATGATTTCTACCTTCCTTCCTTTTTGATGACAACAACTCATGTTACTATCTGGAATATGGTAGATTTTCTGGCTATTTATATAGGAACAATTATTGTATTACAAATTGGGAAATATAATTAAATGAAATTATACAAAGTATTATGTACACTTAATCTTCAATTCTGCCTCAAATTAGTCCTATTGCGTTTGGTAGGGTCCTATTGCGTTTGGTAAATTTGTCCTATTTGCGTTTTGTAAAATCCGTTATTCCAAGTCTCATAAATGCTCTTTTAAAGGCGGCGATACATAAGTATTTTTATTTCTGATTTTTAAAAAAGGCCCTTTAATTTTCCCCTTAAAGGCCCTTTAAATTTTTTGAAAGTCAGTCTTCCTAATGATTCCTTCCATTTTGATGACAATGACTCAACTTCTAACTGGAATATGGTCGATTTTCTGGATATTTATATACGAAGTGTCCATAGGCCACAAGTTGGGCAATATAACTAATTTATATTATACAAAGGATTATATACATTTAATCTTCCATTCGGTTGAATCTCACTACACAGATGTTTTTAGCTGGATACTAATACACAAGGTGCATAAATCCTCCTTAATTATCTCCATAACTCTATTTTTTACAAAATTAACATTTTAATATACATTTAAACGCAAAAAGATTTTCAACTACAAACTGGTTTCTACTGGAGATAGTGACTATTGAATAGCGCAATCGAAAAAAGAATAAAAAATGTAACCACTGAATGGGTTTAATTGTATCAATACTATGAAATCACTTTTAAACGGCATTTGAAAATTCCTGTTAAATAGATATTGCAATAAACTAATATCTAACAAAGTATCTTTGAAATAATTTAAAAGTTTAAATCTTCTAAAACAGCACAGTAAAATTTCTTGCAACATTCACTCTGGTTCAAAACATAAAATTTCAAAGTATTTACTACGGTACCTTAATAACACTCCACTCAAGACCGGCGATAGTCCCAAGAAGATCTGTCGGCTGAATGTCATTACACAGATTAATTATATCTGTTTAATGTAAATTACAATAAACTAATATCTAAGTCTCTTTGCAATAACTTAAAAATTTATATTGAATCAAACATTTCTGAAACAAATACAGTAAAATTTTTTGCAACATTCACTCTGATTCAAAACATAAAATTTCAAAGCACTCACTACTGTACCTTAATAATACCCCACTCAAGACTGGCGATAGTCTCAAAAAGATCTGACGCCGGAATCTCACTACACAGATGTAATTAGCTGGAGACTAACACACAAGACGCATAAATCCACCTTTATATCTCTTCGTGCACTAGCAAGCTCAGCAAGGATTAAGATCTCATCGGGTAGGTTGTCTTTCAAAAAGGATTTACCGGATACCCGGGAGATTTCCTTTTTCTGCCTTTTTTTAAAATCCGGGAGCCGTAATTGCGGTAATCCAGATTGAGAAAATTATGCAGTCCATTCAGAGGGTTTGGGCGATGGTGCGACGTTATTATTCTAAGGATTTAAAGGTTAAAGGAAAGATTCTGGAGATGACATTAATCAAGGGTTTCTTTTTAAGGAAATAAATGTCCTCGCCGTGTTTAATCTATGTACATAAAATTTAATTTCTGTTGGGGTTTTTTTTTTTTTTTTTATTCTTCACTTGTAAATCCACACTACTCCATTTTCTAAATGTCATAGATGCGTTTTTTATGAAGGAAAATTTTCAAACTGAAAATATTAGATTAAAAATATAATAATGGTAATGATGCTTTCTTGATGTATGTAATATAGGCTAATTATTTTTATTAGTTACTGAACTACTGCACAGAACAAGAAATTTCTTTTTTTTTAAGTAATATTTTATTAACAAAAACGATTATTTAACGAAAATATTTGATATATATAATTGTTTGTGGGCCTGAATATCTGAACAATTGTTTGTGGACCGAGTATCTAACGCTCTGGTGCTCGGTGCCACAGGTTTCAGGTTAGAATTCCGCCGGTGCCATGGATATATTTAATAGTCCGTAGGTAAAAACCGTAGGTCTCGGTCAGAGAGCTAGTCAATCGGTCATCAGGCCCCAATAAAGTAGTCATAACGAAATAAAATTGTTCATGTGATATTATTGGGACGATAAATTCATATATTAGGAAGAAAGATGAATAAAACATTTTAATTTAAAAAAAATATTTTTTGAAATAAAATTGCTGAAAAAATAATTCAATGAAAAGTACAATACAATAATACAAATTTATTTTTTTTCTTTTTTTAAAGTTTCCATTTAATAGATTTTATAAAGGACACTAAAATTAAAATTTAATAAAACTATTCTTACAAAACTGCATAGCTTCAAAGAAAGCTCATTTTTTAATTACAACTTAATTTGCATATCAGTTATCTAAAATCAATTGTGATTTTCATTATAAATGTTTTTTTTTTTTTAATATATAGTTCGAATAGTTTACTAACAAATAAATTTAAAAAGTCAAACACCACAAATTTATTGCTAAAATTTAGCATATCTAGAATTCAATGATCTTTTAAGTTTTGTGGATGCCAAGTGAGTCAAAGAATATTAAGCGATTCTTTCAAAAGAAATTTCTTAAGTGTCGATCATTGAAGTGGTTCAGTGCTCTAGGAAACTGACTTTTGCGAAAGTTTTCACAAATTTCTAGATACTGTGACGCTCCAAAGTATATACTTTCAATTCAGAATGTTTAATATCTTTTCCGAAGTGCTCCATTTTAATTTTGAACGAAACGTCTTGTGGAAAATTTCGAATTTATAAAAGTTACATTAAGAGAAAAATTTCTGTATTGCTTTTCTAATAACTAATAGTTATGAATAGTTAAAGAACTCCTAGTTATTCAAAATTCAAAAAGTTTTAAATATAAAAGTAAGCTATATATTTTCCATATCATCATACCTTAAAAATCTATTCACTCATTTGATGAACTTTAAAATAAACAAAATGAAAAAATATATATATACTCGTTCCTAAAAAGACGCGCATGAACCGAAAAGAAAAAAAACTAATATGTTTTCTAAAATGTTGAAAATCTTGGTTTATGAATATTTTAAACTACGTGAGCTTCTTTTTAATAATAATTAACTATTACGAAATATCTATCGAGTCTTTCAAAATTAATGAAACTTTGAATTGGGGATTTGTCGCTCTACGGTTATTTATTTGCACTATTTGAGCTATCTGGATCCTCTGCTCTTTGTTACCAAAGGCTTCATGTTCGAATCCTGGCGTTGACATGAATTTTTATTAGTGATTCGGAATACATTTTAAACTATAGATCCCCGTGTAATTAGAATAAAGTGTGCACAAAATGACCGTAGAACGACAAACTAAAGTGGAATCTGCAATTTAACGCGGATTCTGATTGGTTTGTCGCTCTGCGGTCATTTTGTGTACACTTAAAGCTAATTTACATGAGAACCTACAGTTTAAAGCGGATTCCGAACAGCTAACAAACATCCATGTTACCAAATTAATTCGAACCTGAAGCCGGTAGTACCAAAGACCAGTGCGCTAGCCTACTGGCTATCAGGCCGTCGTTACTAACAAATTTATATGCCACCTCCAAGATTGGAATCTGAAGCCTATGGTACTAAAGATCTAGCTATTTGGCCACAAGATGCTTAAATTATGGAAATCTTCAATGTATATTTAAATATCTAAAGTTTTCTTTAAAAATAACTAATTTATTTCAATTATTGTTTGAATTTAATATCAGTAATGTTGTTTTTCAACATTTCTGTATTTGAAATACAATTAAAATTTTAACAATGTCCAATAATTGTTTTCATTATAAAACTATTTATTTCAATATTAAAATTGAAAGACAAAAATAAGTATAAAATAGTTTTAAAATAGCAATTGAAATCATTGAATTGTTTTA